CGTCTCAAGGGAACAAATGCTTTCAACAGTGCCAATGCTAGACATCTCCTTGACACGGGTCATGAGGTGGACGTCGCAAGATCCTTCAAAATTATCAGTAGGCAAAAGAGTTCAATTTTCCTTAAGTTTGCCAAAGCAATCTCCATCATCAAGCAACTGAAACCTGATTTATGCGTTCAGAAAGAAGCGGTTATCAGTCTTTCCTTGCCCTGGTAACTGGCTGTTTTCATCCTCTCTTTCATCTGATTACGTAATGCTGAAAGATTCCATTGTGTATGACTATTATTGTTTCGGATAAAGTGATTATTATTATTATTATTATTAGCATTGTATGCATGTATTGACTGATTGAATTTTGTTTAAAAATGAACTCTGTGCAAGTATGTTAAAATTGTTTCTGTAGATAAACTTAATAATGTCTTTGGACTGTAAGCAGCTGATGAGAAGCCAACGAAATAAATCATGATACCACTTTATTCTGCAAAAACGACTGTTGTTCTTGCTTTATTCAAATTTAAAACGATTTTATGTGGCGCTAGTGGTTTAATGGTAGATATATTCAGTAACTAAGCGACCACATGTGATCTAGGGTTCGATCCCCGGTCAGCATACTCCTAGAATTCACTAGTAGTAGTATATTTCGAAATTTGATTACTTTAGCCAGAGAAACGTTGAAACACCAGGAAGTACTGGACAGTTGTTTAGTGCTAGATTTTGATACTTTTCATAGTAGTACGCATACATGGCCACCCCCCCCCCACTAGGGATTGAACCGACGAACTTCAGCTTATAAGGTGAGTTCGCTGACCATTCAGCTACTGGATCCCAATCCAATAGGTTCATCAATGGTTCTCTAACTGATGTCAACTGGTAACCAGACCTATAACCAATCAAATCCCTTTAAACCAACTTGATAACTAGTGGCTGGATCTATACAGACAGTTACGTGGAGCTCCAGTGGGATCTACCAAGACAGATAAGAGGACAGTTATTCGCCTATGACATTTGGCTGGAGTTTGCGTGATTGAATTGTGTCGAGAATTGGTAGAAGTTAGAATTCATGACCTGGCCATCGGATCGGGTCCTAGTGGCTCGCCGCCTTATAACCGTAAGCTCCTGGGCTTCGAACTCCAAGTGGATGCGTGTTCCAAACTAGGATGAAGCATCTGTCTAGTATTTCCTGGTTTTCTAATGTTTCTTGTAAATGAAACCACTTAGTGATCAACCTTGAAATTCTAACAAAACAATCATAGAAAAATCAATGAAAGACCTTAAGAACTTAACTACGAATATACACTACACATAAACAATACACACACACATACCTACACACTTACACATATGGGTATATATATATCTGTATGTTATATCGATTCATTCACTCACTCGCATACAGGCACAAATTTACACACTACAAACGCAAGCAAGCAAGCATAGAACATAAATAAATAAAACTAACACAACTAGAGGTTACACATCAAAATGATTCGAGGACATTGTAAGGTCAAGTAAACAAGGTCAAGGGTACACACACACATGTATATATATGTACATATATGTATAGGCCTACCTACACATATACTCATAAAAACTATACATCAGTAGCACGTGATATCGAACAGAAAAAAAAGAGCTTTATTATATTTACCATGTGTGTACAATGCAAACGGTCAAGCACACATATGGGGTATACCTCTATATAAATCACACGCATGTGTATATGAAGCACACAATAAATAGTTAAGTTGTGTCAACCTAAGTAGGTCAATTGACAATTTGTGTATATGTGTGATCGGAGGTGTATGTTAATCTATACATAGGCACACTCACACAGATGTACACATGTTTACAATTTCAGTACCTTATATATATGTATGATATATATAAATGATAGAATAAGGTCAAATACTATTAGTCTAGGTTATTATTGTGATTATTAATATAATTTACAGTGAATGAACTTACAATATATATATATATATATATATATATATATATATATATATATATATATATATATATATATATATATACAATTAGTATTATCGATTAAAGAATTTGTATGTATCTGCTTTCAATTATATAAATCAATTTCGGATGTTCAATTGTAATACTAATAGCTTTTTATTTCTCAATAGTTGCTTTGTAAGGATTAGATTTGTGTTTTGACGAGTTGATCACAGATCGATATCAGTTAGAGAACCACTGGGAAACCAGCACAGGAGTACTGGACAGCTATTTCATCCTAGTGCTTGACCCACTACTGCCAGGGTTCAAACCCACGACCTTCCGATTACAAGGCAAGCTCGTATACCACTCAATGGATCTTTAACTAATAACAATACGTGGTCGTGACCAGTGAGGTTCATCCTGTCAAGTATGAGGATGGATGACTCACCGATGACATTAGTTTGTGCCAATCGCGCTAAATCACGAATTGGAAGAAGTTAGAATTCATGGGCTGGCCATTTAAATGGGTGGGGTCCCAGTGGCTGAATGGTATACGAGCCAGCTTGCCTTGTAACCTGAAGGTCCTGGGTTCGAACCCTTCTGTGGTGGGTGAGTACTGGCGATGATTCCCAAGTACTAGGATGAAACAGCTGTCCAATCCTCCAAGCTGGTTTTCAATGGTTCTCTAACTGATATCAATCCGTGATCAACTCGTAAAATACTAATACTACTACTTATAATATAATAGTGATAGTAGTCATTCGATAATTGAGAAAGAAATGATTGAATGATTAATAGATGAACTTTATAACCGATCATATGTTTCTGTTCACACAATAAGTAGAATAATGAATACATTTCGAGTTGGATATCTTAGGTGTGATAGAATAATAACACTATAACAGTAGCTGCAGTAGTATAAGCAATAGTACAAAAGCTTTAAACGTCACCGTTTTGAAAGGTTACTTATTATTATTATTATTATTATTCATTCTCTTAATAAGAGTACTCAATGAGAAAAAAAAAGAAGTACACTTTCATTTTATGCTTAAGTTTATCATAAGATAAAAACCTAAAGATTTCTAGCACTTTTATTGACACAACAGCTCAAGAAAGAAACCATAGTAATACTAGTATTATCTATTATTTCATTCCTTAGAGTCCCAAGTATAGTATAACATAGGGCTTCAAGTTTTGAAGTTTAAAGTTTCAGTACGGAGTGGAGTCTCTAGCCCTAACACCCAACCAACTTTTCCTCTCTTTATCAGGCTTACCTACTGGTTAAGAAAGGTTTTAAGCATCTATCTGCCTGTCTGTCTATCTATTTTTAACATAGAAATTTGCACCGATGTGCAGCAGTTCAAGTCGCCTCACTCCCTCCTTGTAGCACACAAAGAAAGAGAAGAAAGTAAAAAGAGACAGTAAGTTGAGGTGTGAGACAAAGGAATAGTAATAACGAAGAACAATATAGTTTCATTGGAAATTATAAGTCACAAGGAGTGGATGCATCTGCGCCATTGAGAACGATTTTGAGCCATATCACCAATGGTTAATGACGCTGCAAGTCATCAGGGGTTCTATCCTTGACTGACACGCATTCCTAAACCTCTCTTATCTGTAATAAGCCCGGTAATGAGGCAAGAAGATGAATGACACTAATAATACTGAGACTTCAAACGTCAAAAATTGAAGCCCAATCTTCCATTGGAACTTAAAGCCTGCTAAATTTGGGCTACCGATATCACATGCTGAAAATTCCATACTAGTACCAAAATACTGTGTGGAATCAACCTATAACCTATCCCCCCCCCGCCATCCAAATACGCACATGATCTAGGTGAGATTCCCTCATCGACGAACTCCTAAACCTCGCCTAGCTGGTAGTAAGACCGGTAAAGAGAGGAGATCGTGAGTGGCGTTCGCAACCGCACCCCGTAAAAGAACAACATCGCTACTGACACTTCAGAGATCTACATGTTCCACTAGGAACACAAAGGAATAAAATCTTAATAATAATAATGCTGGATAATGCGACAGACAGTTAGCTGGTAGTGAGCAAACAGGCATAAAATGGATCCACATAAAAAACTTGGAGTATCTGGACTTCGCCGATGATATATACCTGTATTCTCACAAACTGGAAGATATTCAAGTAAAAAGTAGCAAGTTGGCACAAGAAGCATCAACGATAGGGCTTCCTTCAGGTGAACATAGAGAGAACAGAGGTGATGAAGATTCCTGGCCAACAGCAACAACAACAACAGACAACAATCAGCCAGCATAAATGGGAGAAATCTGAAAGAAGCAACCTCCTTTACCTACCCACCCACCTACCTACATATATGGGAAGCATCGTTTCAACTACAGGCTCACCGAATTGATGAGGATAACACAGCAGCAAGGGTCGGGAAAGCAAGGTAAGCTTTCATTTCTCTCAAGTCTGTTTGGAGATCAACAGCACTCAGCATGAAAATGAAAATAAGATCCGGATTTTCAACTCCAATGTGAAGTCAGTGCTACTCACTATACGGATCAGAAACTTGGCGCCGCGCCACACTGCGTCACGAAGGGCGCTTCGAACAAACTACAGACCTTCATCAACAACCGTCTTTGCTCAATACAACTCAAAATCGGATGGCCAGCCAGAAAAGATCAGCAACAGGGATCTGGAGGGATCTCTGGCAATGAACGAACCAACCCGGCAGGGACCAATTGTGCAAGAAATATGCACGAAGAAATGGAGGTGGATTTGTCACATTCTGAGAAAACCATCAAGCGACTTCACACGCCAGGTCATCGCTCGAGTGGAACCCGTATGGGAAGCGGAGAGTTGGTCCTCAAACCAACGATGACATGGAGGAGGTGATGTGAAGAGGAGATGAAAGCATGCGGGCAGACGTGGAGCCAGGTGAAAACGTTGGCTGAGAAGCAAACACAATGGAGATGTGCAGCTGAAGCCTTATGTTCCTCTAGGAATTAAAGGAAACAATAATAATAATAATAATGAACAAACAACAAAAGTTATAATCATCAATGCGTTTTGAACCTACCACGATCTATGTTATCACCTGGTTCACCAGATTCTGATATATTATCTTCTATATTATTATTATTAACAGTACTACTACTATTGCTACTATTACTGTTACGTCTTCTCTTAATAGAAGCAGGATTGGCGGTGCTTATAACATTACTATTATTATTACAACCATTTTTGCTTTTATTATCATTATCAATTAGAGTATTTGTTTCACTGTTTGAAGTACGCTTGCATAATAGTTGAATTAAATTGGTTGATTTGATTGGTGGAGGGACTGGGATAATTGGTACATTATTGTTATTACTATTACTATTATTATTACTGATAGTTGTAGCTGGAGTATTATTATTAGGTGTATTATTATTATTATTGAGACCGAATAGCGATGCTGCTAAACACGAGGCTGATGTAGACGGTATAGGCAAATCAAATGTATTATTATTATTATTCGGTGAAGTAGACAATGATAGCGATGATGATGATTGAATTGGAGGATTCAACGAATTAAATTGATTAGAATGATGTGGAAGAAAAGGAGATTGTTGCTGCTGCTGGAGCTGGTGCTGCTGTAACTGTCGTTGAAGAGATGATGATGATGATGATTGTGGTTGTATTGGTGGCTTCAATTGTACAGCTGAATTGACTACATCTGCAAGTGTATGAAAGCTATTCAATCCACTAATATGTTCTGATCCGGATGATGATGATGAACCGAGCATAATTGTCATCAAGGCATTCAAAGCATCTGTTTGACTATTTGACATAGACAATAATGATGATGATAATGTTGCTGACGTGGATGGTAATGATGAGGAGGATTTCGATTGTTGTTGATTCAATCCATTGATTAACAATTGACTTTCTAAACTACACTGCTGCTGTTGGTGTTGTTGCTGTTGTCCAAATAAACTTTCAGAATTTGAATTCACATTGAAATGAGATGTGATATTTTGACTTGAACTAGGTATTGTAGGATTGGTGGTGATTGTCGGGGGGATCATTGTCAAAGATGGTAAAGTTTTCGGTGATGATAATGATCTTTTCATCATATCTAGTGAATTACAATTCTGTTTAGATACAGATAAAAGAGGTGAAGTATTCAAAGTCTGTTGTTCAGACGGTTGTTGTGGTTGTGGTTGTAGAGGTTGTGAAGAATTCAAGGTACCACTACTACTAGCTGCGGCAGTTGCTGCCAACCAATAGGTGTATAGTGCAGCTAAACTACGTTCTTGTTGACTGGATAATGATGATGACGGTAAAGAATTCATGTTACTCAATGCCAATTTAGTTAATTCATTCAAATTCAATCCACCAGCTGTAGTATCATCACTACTGAACAATGGAATAGACTCCTGTTGATTAGGCATAGGTATAGAGGATAAACCACCAAGTGAATTGGAGAAAGGTGTCTACAATTTTAAAATAAATCAACAAAAAAACAATAAATAAATCTATGAAAGCAAATTAAATAATTTCAGCTGGAACTGCTTTGTTCCAAAGTGGATCTCAGCATGAACCGACATCAGCTTGACGAGTCATTTTAAACCAAAGAGGTGAAGTCGTACCACGGATTGACACAAATTACACTTCGGAAGCCATTGGATTCCAACCGGGTGGTTGAGTGATAACGTGCCAATCTGGGTTCGACCTCCGGTAAGCTCACTGGTGTGAGAAGAGTTTTGAACTAGAAAGACGCAGCTATCCAGTACTCCCTGTTTTTCGGCGATTCTCTGATTGATGTATCTTCGTAACAAAGTCTACACTGGAGTCAACTAACCAATGTCCGCCTAAGAGAAACTAGTACAACACACAACACCGAAACCTTGTTTATCCTTTTTTTCTGGTATCATTCTCGTATATTCTTAGTAGTTAACTATGGGTAAATGTTGACATTATAGCGTTTATTACATTCTTATTCCAGATCGTCATAAGAATTGACTTCATTCTCGCTAATAGTTGTTAGTCTGGACACAGGCTAACACGCAGAAGGTTGTCACGTGAATTAGATAGGTACATTAACAGCCTCACTTCACACTGATAAGGCACATTCAGTTTCCCATGTCTTTGCAAATAATATAGTCAGTTATCTGATTTAGAAAGAGCCGGCGTAAGTTATTTAGGAGGGTACCTTGTAAAACTTCAGTACTTGAAAACCAGTTGAACCTTTGAATCTTTAAATGGACGACTGTTGTTCGACTAGGGAGTACTGTGGCACTCTAGGTCGGCTAAACCTTCTCTCAGAGTACTCCGTCCAAAGTTCAATGAGACTTTTTAGGCTCATTATTGATGTAACACATGCTTCACAAATCTTAAGGCTGAAATCGTGCTTCATTGTTGTCAGTGGTGTTAATAAGATGGAACACCGTTTTACTGTTGCCAGATGCAGTTGTTACTTCCACAATGAATCACTCTAGGTATTGTGGTCCTTATGTAAGCACTGTTTGATTTCATTTGTAAGAGTCTTAGACAGATTACTACACTTACTAACCAATAGAATGAACCGACAAGTGTCGAGAAATTGCAAGGAACCCAAGGTAACCCTGAGTTTGTTATCCAGGTTTTCAACCAGGTCGCAAGCAGTTTTACTCGTTATACTCATGGTGTCTTGTAAGTGCTTTCAATGTCCACATACACCAACTACAGTCTGTCTGTCGGTTTGGTTTTAATATAGAACTTTGCACCGCTGTGCAGCACTTCGAGTCGCCACACTCCCTCCTTGTAGCACATAAAGCAAGAGAAGAAAGTAAAAAGAAATGCATAATAGAGACAATAAACAGATATATGAGGCAATGAGAATAGTAACATCGAAGAACAATATAGTTTTATTGGGTATTATAAGTCACAAGGAGTGGATGCATCTGCGCCAGCCATTGAGAACGATGAGTTTGAGCCATATCACCTATTGTCATCAGCCTTCATTGGTTTTTACCATTCCAAAGACCCCAACCAGTCTGGAAGTCAACACCTCCCTACGTGGCTAGCTGGCTCGCTTAAACTAACTGTTGTGGATTTCATTGACTGATGAAGCCATGTTTTGGTTTGACCACCACTACCTCTTTTCCAGCCTGACCCTATGTCACCTAACATTACCTATTGTCGAGGAAGGCGATGACTAGGCATGCATGAGTAACACATGTCCTAACCATCTCAATCGATGTAGCTTCACAACCTCGTCGATTGATTTCCCCTCCTTACCTAGCACTTGACCGAAGCCTAACCTCAATATTGCTCACCCTATTTATACCAATTCACACAGCAGACAGAACACAGACAACTATGATCAAAGACAGCTAGCCGGCCTTTTCATACCTTCCACTCTCAATGGCCAGGTCTCACAGCCATAAAGGAGGACGGAGCGGACTGTTGAGCAGTACACACACCCACACACACACCAACTACAGGATCTTTAGCCAGCCTTGAATTTAGTTACATCAACCTAACTGCAAGATAAGCCCAAAAATCGTTCCAGAAGTAGTACCGATGTCATTGTAGGCTGTGTCAAATGACGCAGGAACATCACGTAGGGCTACATTGATAGTCATCTCCAGCAAGTTGATGCTGACTAGAGGAATTAGCTGCCAAACTAATCAAAAGACAGTCACTATTATCCAGCCTGAGAACATCTAGTCACCACCACTGATTTATCTAGACGCCTGCCTTTGGATGTATATTCAAATCCTCAACTAGACCTACACACAAGTCAAATAAGTAATTTAGACTTTTTTTTAAAACAACAATATAATAAACGTACCATTATTGGAGAATACATTTCTTGTGTTGCACTTACTTTATTATTATTAGTAGTAGTATTATTATTGCTGTTATTATTATCAGGCATATCAGCAAGCTGTGAACTGAGAAGAGTGTTTCTATTGATAGGTCGACTAAGATTTGCACTGGCATAGTCTGAATCTCTCAGGCTAGCTGTAAGACAATCTTCCAGACCACTAGTATACGTAGATAGATTATTAGGCAGAGATGTGTTATTATTATTACCACTACTCATTATGACAGCTGTTGAACGTTGATGACTGGAAGTTAGCGGAATAACAGGAGATGGTTGCGGTGATTGCAGAATAGCCAGAGAATGTGTTCCACTATTTTGTGGTGAGACAACAGTTGTCGACTTTGAGATGACACCAGACTTAATATCTTGATGGGGAAGTATGTGGGAGGGATGATGAGGATGATGATTGGAGTCGTTCATTTCAGAATTTGTAGATGATGTTGAGGATGAGGATGAGGATGATGAGGAAGAGGAGATATCACTTAAAGCAGAATTTTTATTCCCTCCAGACAATTGATTATCATTCAGATGTTTTGATAATGATGATGCTGAGGATAAAATTTCTCCCATAATAGATGTTGTAGTCGGCAGTGTTGAACGATAAGAAGAAGAAGCAGTAGATGGAGAATTTCTTGATGATAACTGGTTGTCTTCAGGTTTCTGTGTCACTAATTTCGAATTGTTGTTATTATGACCATAAATTTCATCTTCATTCTCTTCTGAATTATGTTCCGGTTTGTATAATACATGTTGAGATTGTGGTGAAGTATTACAGGCATTCGTATTCAATGGAAGGGTAGTTATGCCTCCATTTGAGGTATTACTATTACTACTATTATTATTATTAACATTAACAGTACTAGTGGAAGTATTAGTAGTACTAGAGGTAGTGAAATTCGGTGAAACTCTGCCGTTTATCATATTTCCTCCACCTGTAGTAGTTGTAGGAGTAGTGTTCGAATTACTTGATATATTATTATTATCAGTAAGAAAATTTAAAGCAAATGTATTTGTCGGTCGACGTTCATTTTGTACAGCTTCTGAACGCATACCAACAGCTAAACACTTTTGTAGTCTACAATATTGACAACGATTACGATAGGCTTTATTTACAAGACAATTTTGTTCACTACGGCATACATAACTAACATGTCCACGTATTGAACGTTTAAAAAAGCCTTTACATCCTTCACATGATACAACACCATAATGTCGTCCTACAAAATAAGGAAAAAAAATAGAAAAAGTAAGAGGAAATTTATCAGATACGATGAACAAAGGAGTTAAAATAGGCGTAGAAATTTAAGGAGAATTACGTCATTACTTCCGTCTTTATCTAAAGACTAAATTCTACTAAAGTATTATAGGTGTTTTGAGTCGGTGTCACAGCGGTTAGGACGCTCGCCGACCACACCTCATGTGGTTCAGGGTTCGACCTCCCGACCAACACACTTCTTTACCTCGCTAAGCCAGTAATAAAAAAAGAAGCCGGTAAAGAGGAAAGGTTGGAAATGAGACTGGCTAGCAACCCCATCCTGTAAAAATAAACACCACTGCTACCAAAACTTCAAGCCTCTAGCTGGAAGCCCTATGTTCGATTGGGAATGTAAAGGAATAAAAAAAAATTAAAAATGTGGCGGCTGTTACCGACATTAAGACTGCCACTACTATATCTATTAGAGAATGAAAATTCTCGGTCATTTACTTATAACCCGCAATATATGGCACTTCGGACGATTTCCCCTAATACTTCTAGTCTAATCGGACAGAAAGAAAGCACATTATATATATTGTCGAAATTTGTTTATTTTTAATCTCTCTGAGCAGTATTCCCTCCGGTGTCCATTTCTGTCATATAAAAAATCTCATTCAAAGCCCCATTGCTTCTTGCTTCTATTGTGGCTACGGTTGTGCTCAAAGGCTGTCTGGTTATCATCTCTAGCTCACCTATGTCCATACGTTGTATGGTGTTAACTAGTTGCAGTTACTGAAAGATGTGATCTCGAACACCCTAGGTAAACTGGGATGCAAACAACTAATCCATGGACTATTCACATCAAGCATAGAAAGTGCATAACGAAGTAGATTTGCCAACCTCAGTGGCAATACCAAATAATTTCTGTTAGATTGTAGCTCTCATTGTACGAAACTGCTGCATTGCCTACTGTCTGTTTGTCAGGTTGTCGAACTCCTTGCACGCTATTCATCCGACCTCTTAGCAGTGTCCCCAGTACAACCATTTTCGCCGTCGGACACTGAACATCCATCAACTCAACAATGGTTTAGAAATCCTGCAAGAAGCTCCGTCTTCATAAACTGCAGGACATGAGATCTTCATATGGTCGTAGTAGGTAGTGACATCAAGTGTGACAATTATAGAACACGATAGTATTAATGTACAATTACAGAAGCCTTACACATTAAAATCCTCATTCTTTTTTTAAATTTTTTTATTCCTTTACGTTCCCAGTGGAATATAGTGGGACTTCAAGCTAGAGATTTGAATTTTCTGTAGCAGTGGTGATTACTTTTACAGGATGGGGTTGCTGGGCAGTCTCATGTCCAACCTTACCTCTTTACCAGTCCTATTACTGGCTTAGAGAGGTTTGTGAGTGTGTCGGTCGGGGATCGAACCCCAGACCACCTGCATGGATGGCGAGCATTCTACGGCTATGCTACCGATGCACAAAATCCTCTTAGAAGACATTACAAACACTATATATTACTTACAAAGCCTTATTATCAGTAGTAACCACCGCCACATAGGGATGAGAGATAACAGAGAAAGCATTTTCAAAACATCAAAATAAACAGGTGGCGGTAACGCATACTACTAGGCTTTACAGTCTAATCAACTCTTCACAAAATATGTATGAACACCATTCATTGAATAGATTTATCTGACTGAAATGGATCAAATTTACATTTTAACAATGATCGAACATACATATATACATTTATACATAAATGTAGTGCGTCGGCGGCATAGCGGTTAGGACGCTCGCCGACCATGCACATGGTCCAGGGTTCGATCCCCGGCCACCGACGCACTCCTTTACCTCGTTAAGCTAGAACTGAAGCTGGTGAAGAGGAAAGGTTGGGCATGAGACTGGCTAGCAACCCCATCCTGTAAAAATAAACACTGCTACAGGAACTTCAAGCCTCAAGCTTGAAGCCCTATGTTCCACTGGGAACGTGAAGGAATAAAAAAAAAACATAAATGTATATACAGACTGTTATATGTCAGTCATTCTCAAAAAAACACCATTAGCTCATAGTCAGTCCTACAAAAAAGAGATATATGGATAACTAGGGAAGACTTCGCCTCCTTTTCTACGATGGTGGTGATAGTGATGATAACACTAATAGTAATAATAATAATAATAATAATAACAGATGCGAAGCGAAAAATGAGAAACAAAAGAAACAAAAAACACGCCGAGCAAAAATCTAAGAGAAGGAAGGCATAACCCCGTCTCAAAGAATCATGCTCTCACCAGAAAGAATCATACAATCTTAGAGACAGGTATACGCTCGCTCAGAAACACATCAAGACACACACATACACACGCATGCATACGTACATGTGAGAGTCTACAAAACATAGACTTCGATAATAAAATAAAATAAAGTAAATAATAACTGCAAATTGAAAGCCAACAGAATATTTCCCTTTGTGGATAATAAAAATTAATAAGTATATATATGCGATAACAAAACTAGTAGTCTAGGGGCCAGTACACAAAATATTTCTCTGACGATGATGATGGCGATGGTGGTGGTGGTGATGGTGATTAAACAAGGGAAGGCATAAAAAACATGAGTGAGAAAATAGTCTGAACGAGTAGAAGAAGTAGAAGAAGGAAAATGAGAGAGAGAGAGAAAAAGGGCATAAAAAATCGATAATTGCCTAATCAAAACAATAACAACCAGGGGTTTGCCAGATAAATTCACATATATATGCAGACAAAAAAACATAGGAAAAAAAACATTTAAACCTGTGAAGTCAAAAGAACTAAGATGAATATTATGCCTCAGTGCCTTGGGGTCTACCATGCATGTGGTCCGATTTGATACCCGACTGACAATAAGTTTGCAAAAGAGGGGAGCTATCAACCCTATCCTGTAAAAAATTACCACCGTTACTGAAACTTTGAGCGTCGGTGGCACAGCGGTAGAATGCTCACCAACCACGCCTCATGTGGTCCAAGGTTCGATCCCCGGCCACGGACTCATTCCTTTACCTCCCTAAGCCAGTAATAAGGCGGCCTAGCAACCCCATCCTGTAAAAATAATCACCACTGCTACAGAAACTTCAAGCCTCTAGCTTGAAGCCCTATGTTTCACTGTGAACGTAAAGGAATAAAAAAACGGAAGCTTTAAAGCTCAAGTTTGAAGCACTATACTCTACCCAGAAAACAGAGTTTAAACTATATTTATTATGAAGTGTAAACTTACATCGAACTATCATCACAATTTACATATTAATTTAGTCATGTAGGAGTCGATTTTCAAATGGAGTAATTAAGATGCAAACCCATAGGTTTCAAATGAAAGCGACTTCTTCAAACACCCTTACTCTATATACCACAGTTGGTTCTCATTTTATGTGAGAACTCTGAACTGAAATTGGTGTATTTCAACTGCAATAGTCATATTTTATACCTATTTACACTTAGAGATTGCGTCGGTGGCATAGCGGTTACGACGCTCGCCAACCATGTACATGGTTCGGGGTTCGATCCCAGGCCACCGACACACTCCTTTACCCCGCTAAGTCAGTAATAAGACTGGTTGGGCATATGGCTAGCAACCCTATCCCGTAAAAAATACAAACACTGCTACCGAAACTTCAAGCCTCTAGCTTGAAGCCCTACGTTCCACTGGGAACGTGAAGGAATAAAAAAAACACTTAGAGACGAGTTCATCACTGTTTGACTTCGATGAGAGAACCGAATTAATTCAAATCAACCGAAACCACATGGTTTCAAAAAAGCTACACGACCATATGGTGTTCAAAATCACCTCAGCCTGGTTATCAAGCACTGCATGATTGAGGTGAGGGGCATCTAACTACTTATATCGATCAATCAGTAGTATGTAGCGTGATGCATTTAAGCCTTATCACCATTAGTCTCAATCTATTGGTCCTGAGCGTGTCGAGGACCTCAAACAGACAGTCTACGTCTCCCTATGTGACTCAAACCAACGTCGTTAGTGAATGTAGATAAAATAAGTATACAGTAACCGTAGATGACCACAGATTTCATAAAGGAATGTTTATCTGGAATTTGGTATCATTATATGGCGAAATTACATACACCTTATCTCCAGCGCACCATTTGTACGTATCTTCCGTGTGGTGCTACTTCTGGCCTTCCTTCCTATTGTGTTTCTTAATGCTCCTTTCACGTCTCCTGTATTTCTCCTCGACGCTGTATCACTTGCTTCCTCTGAAATCAAATCTATTTCCCTGCTGTTTGATGTTTTCATGCTGATAAATGTCTCTTTATATACTACTGATAAATCTTATCAGTAGCACACGCTACAATACTATACGTGACCTAAAGAGTTGCACGAAAACAAACACTAGTGTATAAGTAAAAGCTGACTATCACTCATAGACGACCTGGTACGGCCGAGGGTGTGTAGACTTCAGCCCTCCTCTCGAAATGTTCTCATGTGGCTACGCGTTCATGGCCCCTCACAAATAAGTCCTATTCACTACCCCAAGCAGCGGGAATGCCTCCCCACGAAAGTGACAGATATAACACGAACGTCTGGAGCTTACAACCACCGGACTGGTGTACATACTGATCTACTCGGGGTAGCTCCATTACCTTCTGGATCGAATTTCAAGTTAAAGACTCGGGAGATGGGTCCTTTAAGACAACCACCTGCTTTAATCTGGGCGTCCAGGCAGTATCACAGCCATCGTACAGACTGAGATTTGTGTACTGCGTCTTTTGGTACCAATGATGTGGCGAATTTATGTTTTAATAATAATAAGTAACAGCTGACTTAAAAGAAAAGGAATTATTTTTAAATAACTGACCACCTTTTATTTTAAAAAGTACGCAATATTTGTGTCTAGTCAAATGTCACACACTTTAAACGAAAAATTTATCACTCCTTATATGTATGACAATGTTTTTCTGTATCTAGGCGAATGACACGAAGATGTATGTGAGATGATAACATCAGTCAATGAACTTATGATATGTAACAAATCAATAAGTTCAGAATACAAGTACAGCCAGAGTAACCCTACTACTTGCTTGGTGAAAAAAAACAACAACTGAGTCATAATTCACTTGTTTTGATCAACTTTAGCAACAAGAAACTCTGGGAACGAAACAATCATGGGCCAATGGATCGGGTCCCAATGAGTGGCTTAATGGTCTACGAGCTAGCTCGCCTTGTAACCAGATGGTCCTGGGTTCGAACCCCACTGTAGTGGGTGCGTACTGATAAAGAGTCCCAAACTAGGCTGACGAAACAGTTGTCCAGTACTTCCTGAAGGTTTTCCAATGGTTCTCTAACTGATGTCAGTCAGCTCATGATGAAATCCTGTAACCAATCAATCAAGAACCTATTGCTCAACATATATGCAGAAGAAAATAGAGATGGAACGGACACACTCTGAGAAGACCATCGGGTGACATGGAGGGGATAGTTTGTGAGTAGGGGATGAAAGCTTATGGAGAATCGTCGAAATAGCTGAAGATGATTGCAGAGAAAAGAACTAAATGGTGATGTTCTGTTAAAGCCTTATGTTCCCCTCAGAACCCAAGGGAATATATACATGAAGGATGAATAAGTTTATGCACTAACCTGAAGCTTTATCTCCACAAACTTTACACGGTTCCCAGGATTGATTTTCATTTGATAAATTTACAGCTGTTTGAGTCATATTCAAACCTGAATTCGGTGATGTACGAAGATTTGTACACCCATTTAACAGGACAGAATTTGGTGAAGTTGTACTTTCAGTTGGTGGGTAAAAATCACCACCCCCACCACCAGCACCACTGACACCGACAGGATTCGATTGATTAGGAGATAGAAAAGACGGTGTAGCCGATGAAGACGGTGGACTGGCAGCTGATCCAACAAGCATCGGTGGTTCAGGTGATATTCTTGATGTTGGTCGGAGAAAAGAATTACGTGAATGATTGTTGCTGTTATGGTTATTAGTATTATTATTATTATTACTACTAATATTATTATTATTAATACTGTTGGGGGAGTGAAGTGATAAGAAATTTGAAGCCAAAGAATAAGTTGGTGAAATTAACTTGTCTGAAGTACAACTAGATACACCATCATTAGTATTATTATTCATAGATGATGATGATAATCTACAATCATTCAGATTTGTATGTTTAACAGATTGGGTAAGACTACCCAGGAGATTTCTTGTAGATCCAAGTGATGAAGAGGTGTAGGCATTTGAACTTGTATTCACATTTAACATTTGTTTGAATAGAAGATTTTGTAATGCAGACGACAGACTGTCATCAGTTGGAAGAACTGAATTGAAACCATCTGAAGTTGTCTAGAAGGAAAAAAACAAAACAACAACAAAAAAAGGCATCAATAATATTGAGTTATATCTGAAGTTTTTGGTTAATTGAAACATCGGTACTTGTCAAACTCATTCAAACATACGGCACATTTAAATAAATACAGTGTTTTTGACACTGTAAATGAGCGCCAAAATGGTGTTTTCAACATTTTATCACGAATTGATATCAATTAGAGAACCATTGAATTGAAAGACTCGAGAATTGATGAATCATTAGATTCCTTCCTAATGGTTGAGTGGTCAACAACTTCGCCTTGTAATCTGAAGATCATGGGTTCGATCCCTAGCGGTGGGATCATGGATGTTTAATGCGCCGATGGCACAGCAGTTAGGACGCTCGCCAACCGTGCACATGGTCCGGGGTTCGATCCCCGGCAGACGCACACCCGATATCAATGGTCGGCCTGCAAAATTGGGCTACCGATATCACATGATGAAAATTCCATACTTGTACCGAAAATACGGTGTGGAGTCAAGCTATGATTAAAAAAAGCGTCGGAAGAAACAGCTATCCAGTATTGGCCTGGTGGCTTCCAATGTTTCTCTAACTGATATCAAACTGTGATCAGAATTAAAACCAATCAAATCGCCCTACAAACTCTAACATTTGAAAATGTTTTTTGCTATGTGAGTAAATGATTAACTTCGGGAACTATATGTGAAACCACTTAGGAGCGTACTGTATTCCATGTACATAATTTCCTCCATTTCGTAGGTGTTTATTTCAATATAATTAACTTCAATATAACGACTACACTTTCAGATCCAATACAGTGTTAAGCCATACACATACTTCATTTTCCTTCATTCCTTGTAATCCAAGTGGAATAAATGGCTTCAAATTCTAAACTTTCACAGGATGTGGAATTGTTTTCAAGCGATAGGGTTGCTAGCTGATATAAGAATAGAACTTGTGCACTGTGGTAGGGTATTATTCCATTATGGGTAAAATTTATTTTGATAAAGACGCACAGTAGTGTTATACAGTAATATTTACTAATAACAATGTTTTGAGCACAATTTATTTATTTTTTATTTTTTCCCAGTGGAACATAGGGCTTCAAGCTAGTAGTGTGAAGTTTCTGTAGCAGTGTTTATTTTTACAGGACGGGGTTGCTAGCCTCATGCTCAACCTTTCCTCTTCACTAGCATTATTTCTGGCTTAGTGAGGTAAAGGAATGCGTCGGCCGGGGATCGAACCCCGAACCATATGCATGGTCGGCGAACGTCCTAACCGCTATGCCACCGACGCACAATTTATTGCTGCTCATATCATATCATCTTATCATATCAAGACACTACTCACACAACTTTCTAACTTCGTATGTATGATTCCATTATTTTTCATCGTTTGATTTGATTGTTAGTAGTATTTCCCATATTTCCGGTAGGAGTGATGCGTCATTCCTATTGCACGTGTTGGGTGTATACTCGATGAACCAAGCAGGATTCAGTAATCAACCTCTCTCGCTTTCCACCTACCTATATTACTTCTTAGAATTTTGACTCTGTCCCACCCTATTGTGTGGTCGTGTGTTAATGCATGCAGTGCAATGTAGTGCTGAGCTTTTTTCTAAATTACTTATCTTCTCGGAGTCAATCATTCTAACCTTAGCTAAATTCTTATGTTCTGACAATCTGACTATTCCCGATCTACTAGTTTGATCCATGTAGTTGACTTAACTTACAGTCATTGTAAGATATTTTGTAAATTATACTATTTTGTTTAACTGGGTCAACCTACAGGGGCCTTTAGCTTACAGAGCCTGTCTTACCTGAGTGAGTTTGTAGGTTTAAATGCCACCCTAATTCCTGCTTTATTGAGAATCCTAGATAGGGCCCCTCCTTATATGGTAAAACTACTGTAGATGCCTTAAATTCCCTCTTATTTATGTTATTATTACTAGTTTCACCATTATTTTTATTTTGCTTTTGCACTTTTTTGATATTCCTAATGAATTTTATAGGATAGTTATTCAACACCAACGCCTCTTCTATCTGTTTTATTTAACCATTTTAGGTTTCTTGTTGTACCACTTACTGCTACTGCTCGGTTTGTTAGACACTTAACTAATCCTGCCTTCACAGACAGATAACGGATGAGATGAATTAAGGTCTAAATATCTAGTAGAATGCGTTGGTGTTTTATAAACGCTGGTGTGCAGTTTACGTTCTTCTATTCGTTTTATTTTACAATCTAACATCATGGCTAATTCTACTTGTTCATTTTTCGATTAAAATGCGAATTTTATTCCCTTTACCAGTGAGTTTGTATGTATCCAGAAGCTGGAGATATGTTCTATTTTTAACACTGTGAAAGTGTCAGCCATCCACATATCTCCCCCATATTTTCGAATTAGGATTAAACGTATTAAGTGCAATATTTTCCCAGCTGTCCATAAAGATATCTGCTACAATATTGGAGATATTGGTGATCCATCCGATTGCTACACCTTCCGTCTGTTTGCTAGCTAGTCTTACTTACACTAAACCTTCTTATTGATCCAAGTTTACTAACAGCTAGTAAAATTAGCGAGGCATACGAGTGTATCGATCGTGAATCAAACCACCACGACCTCCTCTTTATTTGAACCAAGAACGGTAGCATGAGTACAGTCTTATTTTATGAAAATTAACTTAAACTTAAGATACTTGATTATGGATAAGATTTTATTTTGATAAATCACACAGTGTTGTTATACAGTAATATGAACTGATGATGAAATAAAACAGATAAAAGAGGCGTTGGTGTTAAATAACCATCCTATAAAATTTATTAGGAATATCAAAAAAGGACAAAAGCAAATCAAAAATAATGGTGAAACTAGTAACGATAGCATAAATAAGAGAGAATATAAGGCATCTACCGCTACACCATATAAGGAAAGGATATCTGAGGCCCTACGTAGTGGGATTCTCAATAAAGCAGGAATTAGGGTGTCATTTAAACCTACAAAGTCACTCAGGGACAAGCTCTGTAGGCTAAAGGACCCTGTTGACCCAATTAGACAAAATGATATAATTTACAAAATACCTTGTAATAACTGTGAGTTGAGTCAACTACATAGGTCAAACTAGTAGATCAGGAGTAGTGAGATTATCAGAACATGAGAATTTAGCTAAGGTTAGAATGTTTGACCCCAAGAAGATAAGTAATTTAGAAAAAAGCTCAGCAATTGCACTGGATGCATTATCATACAACCACACAATAGGATGAGAGAGGGTTAAAATTCTAAGGAGAGTAATATACGTAGGCGGAGAGAGACAGAGGTTGATTTCTGAATCCTATCTGGTTCATCGAGTCTACACCCAACACATGCAACAGAAATGACTCAATGCAAATACTACCAGAGATATGGAAGATATTACCAGATAAATCATAGGGGGATAATAAGTAATCTTAAAATTCTATTTCAATTCCCATACATTATGACTATAAAAACACTTGTCTCATTTCCCATCTGATTGTAATTGATGAATAACACTCATATTATTATTATTTCTGAATGTACATTATCCCATATTCATTTTTATTCAAATATCTAAACAATTCCACTCATGTATATAAATGAAGGAAAAAGTTGTGTGAATGACTTGATATGATTATGAGTGGCAATAGTTTGTGCTCGAAACGTGGTCATCAGTTAATATTACTGTATAACAACACTGTATGATTTATCAAAATAAAATCTTATCCATAATGGAGTTACACTCTACCACAGTGCCCAAGTTTTATACTTATTATGTCAATAATACTTAAGATATACTTAATATACATTCCACGAATACAGGTTTAAAAATATGAATATACGAGTATAACTCTCTCAAATGTTTCATTCGGTAAAAAGTATTAGTGGAGTATAATATCACCTACCAAATTTGCAAGATGACTGACAATATCTGGAGCAGGAGTCGGTGTAGTGGTAGCTGCGACGGCTGCTGCAGCAGCAGATAACTGGGCAAGAAGATCAAATGAAATATTCCCCGTAGATGGAGTGTTGTTATTATTATTAGTAGTATTATTAATTTCATTCGGTATAAGTGAAGCACCAACACCGCCGCCAGAAGACATAACTTTAGCGATTCCAGATGGTTTACGCGTAGACGATAAATTAGTCAATTGTTGAAATGCTTGAGTAAGTGATCCACCATCAAGCATATCTCCTGATGATGATGATGTTGATAATGATGATAATAAACTATGCGATGAAGTTTGATCAAATCCCGAAGAAGACGAAGAAGAAATAGTTGGATTAATTAAACTTTCTAATGCTTGACGTAACTGAATAGTAGAATTCACACTGTCCAACTCAGATGATAAAGTGGCCAAAGGATTTAGTAGATTTGTTGATGAGTTAACCGTACAATTGGTAGGATTCAAGTTCCCAGTTCCAGAGAGAAATGAAAGTAAAGCTGTTGAATCTAACGTTGTAGGTACCTCTTTCTTGCATTTAACTTTTTGTCTAGCCTGCTATAAATAGACAATAACATTTGGAGGATAAATAAAGAGGTTTATAAATGATCTTAGAGAGGAAAACATATTTAATTACTTTGTAAACAATCGTAAAACTAAATAAATATTCAAGTATTGTTTTGTAGAGATTTCATCATCATTTGACATTGGTTAGAGAAGCATGGGAGTACTGGACAGCTGTTTCGTCCTAGTGCTTGGGAATTATCGGCAGTACACACCCACTGGGATTCGAACCCAGGACCTTCCGGTTACAAGGCAAGCTCGTATACCATTCAGCCACTGGGACCCGATTCAATGGTTCATGAATTCTAACTTCTACCAATTCGTGATTAAGCGCGACCCCAGCCATTGTCGTTGGTGGGACATCCATCAACACACGTGACATCTAATTGCACCTCACTGGTCACGACTTCTCACTAGAACTCCAGGAAACTCCACCCTGTAGCAAGTCACTAGCGAGCATCAGATTAATTTTCTATAGTTTGGTTCGTGATCAACTCGTAAAACCATAACAAACCCTTACAAACCAAACTATAGAAAACTAAGGGTTCCAGTGGGTGAGCGCTAGGAAAAATACTCGCCGAAGGCACTGGCTAGAGGTCACGCTATGTCGTGAATTGGCAAAAGTTGGAATTCATGCGTTAACCATTGGATAGGGTCCCAGTGAGTGACTTAATGGTCTACGAACTCATCCTAGGTTCGAACCCCGCTGCGGTGGGTGCGTACTGTTGAAGAGTCCAAAACTAGGCTGACGAAACAGCTATCCCGTACTTCCTACAGGTTTTCCAATGGTTCTCTAACCGATTGATGTCAGTTCATGATGAAATCCTGCAACTAAACCTCCTATCGACTTCTTTATTTTTTAACAATCATACATGATTAATTTTTGCGTAAGCTTTCGAAAGTACTATCACATTTGTACACTCTAGCCATTTGTTCATGAATTAAAAGTAATTGAGTTCTTTTAGTAACACAATACACTTTAGTTGAATCACCATCATCATCATCAATAAGTAGGTCGTGTCTATCATATAACTGAAGAGAATGGAGAGGTACTCCACAATCACGGTGGTCTCTCGTTTACAAAAAAAAAAATAAAGAAGAGCAACCACCCTTCAATAATTTCTTCAAGTTTATTGTAATGATGATCTACCTATACATTACTTGAAGAATTATTTTACCTATAGTTCTTTATTGATTAATTATATGTTTTTAGAACAGAACAGATTTAAGCTGTGAAAACGAACATATTGACAATAATTTGCCTATTACCATAACAATTAGAGAACCATTGGAAGGTCTGTGAGTGCTTAACCCCCCCCACCAGTATGTATCCACCGGAGTTCAAACTCAGGACCTTCCGGTGACGAGCTCGAAGAGTCTCAAACTGGGACGAAACAGCTGTCCAGTAATCCTAGGCCTTCCAATGATTCTCTATAACTGATGTCACAGCTTATGACCAATCCTGTAACCAATCAAATCCCTGCACACGAACACTTGATAATTATAAATAAATCAGGCATGATCTGTGCGTCGGTGGTACCATAAGTGAAATGCTTGCTAACTATGCATGTGGTCCAGGGTTCGAATCCCGGTCGATGCACCTTTCAACCTCACTTAGATTACTATCCGGTAATCAGTTCGGTTAAAAGAGAAGGATGGACATAAGACTAACAAGTCTACTCAGTAATAACACCACCACAGCTAGTGAAACCTCAAAAAGCCCAGTGTTCTACTCAGAACACAAACGGAAAAAAGTGATAAAAGCTGTAAAGCATTAGTTCATTTTTATCTCAAATGATGTGAATAGTTTATAGCAAATATTCCTTAGTACTAGGCCGATCGCACTCACTACTCAACTTTTATTTCATAGCTATAGAGCTCCTCCACAATTTTCAGAGGACTAGTACATTAACAACAGACGAGGGGTTTAAGTCCCAAGATGAGTATCAAAAAAATGCGGCTACTTCAAACTTTAAGTGAACAAGATTTAGCACTATACACCAGATATCATGAATCTAGAACCTTCAGAATAAATCATAAAAACTATTTTAACACCGGAAACATAAAACTTTGAAGATTGAAAAATCTCATATACTAGAGCATCATCAGACGCAAGAAACAAAAACCATAAAAACATTAAATGTACAAATATAGGGAGAAATCCAGCATCTGTATCAATTACGTTTATCAATTTTCTAATTGATTATGAGCAAAACAAAATAAAATCCACCAGGTCAGATAAGAGATCAGTTACCGCCCTCTACGACATATATATACATTGGTAGACGTTGGAACTCGTGGGCCATCGAGTTGAGTCCCAGTGGTGGAATAGTTTACGACCTCGCCTTGTAACCGGAAGGTCCTGGGTTCGAATCCCAGTGGACATATCCTGTTGAAGAGTCCCCAACTAGGACAAGACAGCTGTCCAATACTTCCAGGTTTTTCCAATGGTTCTCTAACTGATGTCCACACTCATGATCAAACCTGAAAACCAAAGTATACAACAGAAAAAAGTGGTATTCTGATCTGATATAGCACAAAGTTGCATCGGTATTAGACAGGACAAAGTAGTCAGCAAAGAAGACCTGGATCTATTTTCCGACCTTTTAATTGAATCATTAGCAAAGTGTAAATGTATCGTACATTATTCAATTGTTTAGACAAAAGTAATACCACTGGAGTATATGGGTTACAACTGAAGTTTACTTAAATACACGGATTAATGGTCACTTAGAAGTAACCAACGTTACTTAGTACAAACAATTCTTTATATCCACTGAACCTGGTTTATGGTCATGTGATAATTTTATTTCAAGCTAGAACTCTAACTGACTTCAGTTAGAGAACCACTGAAAACCAAAAAGCACTGGATAGACATCTTGTCCCATTTCAGGACTCGTCATCAGTACGCACCCATGACTTTACAGAACCTTTGGGTTACGATGTGAACCAGTCGAGTGGGTATTCAGTCACTGGGTTGTAATCCAATAACCAGTCAGTGTCACTGGTAAGTATTTTACCTCACACCTGACTTGATGGACCACAATGGTCACGACTTCACACTACAACTGAGTTCTATCCCCTGTGGGGTCATGGGTACATACTACTGAAGAGTCCTAAACACTAGGCCGAGACAATTGTCCAATACACCTTGGTGTAAAAACTTGAAGTGAATCAAATCCCCCTGTAGACTAACACACACATACACACACAAAACAAAAAAAGCAAGACAATCAACAAAGTAAACTATCTGACCTGTTATTGATTTATTTTTTATTGATTAGTAGAAAAGTAGAAAAATGAATAATAATTCGACAACTTATGTTCTTTCTATTTTCTCTTCTTACTACTTAACTCTAACCTATCGTCGTCCAATTGATTTTAGAAGACATATATATACATACATCTACATACATACAAACACAAATACACACAATGACACACAGACACCACATACAGACATTATTAAACGTCGTACAAAGAAAGCTTCATTTATTCATCATAAAAACAAAAATCAAAATTAAGGAGAAATTGTTTTAAACAAAGAACAATGAACGATAACTAATTATATGAATTATACTGCTGCTACTACTACTAATACTACTACTGATGGTATGACTATTATACTACTTATATAAAACGAATAGGCATCTGATCAATACTATTTAATACAACTTCAAGTTGCGTTATTTTCTATACAACACACTGTTGAGATCATCAACAAAATCGTTGAATAACGAATAATAAAATGACATATAAGAGGCAACAAAGGAGATAAGTGACACAATAGACACAAAGTAAGTAAATGACCTTCTGACAAAATGAAATAATAATAACAAAAAACAAAAAGCTATTTAAAGGAAAACAAAGGAAAAGTATGTTACGTGTACACACAAATATATATAAATAATAATCATAACAAACCTATCGATTTTAGGTTAGGTTGACTCGCCCAACAACAACAACAATAATAATAATAACAAAATAACAAAAATAATAACAAGGATAGGAGAAGACTATTTACAGAATGGGAACTCGTTTGTAAACGACTCAAACCGTCCTTCCTTTCTACCTTCCTTCAAACATTGTGTTTACCTAACAAGTTTCAAAATAGGGTTGTTATACAACCACGAAGGTACACACTTCATATATGCATATGTATATATAAATATATCACAGACAGACATATATACGCATGAAGAGTTTCACTTATTAAGTGGTCAGCAAAATTCAGACAAAGTAGTTGTGAACATAATAAAGAAATAAGTAAAAGAAGAACAACAACAACAACAAGGCAGAGATTCCCCAATTATTGGAAACCAAGATATTGACCTCTTTCTCTCTCTCTTTCTGTTACTTATAATCGTATTCCTTTTTTTAAAAACAACATAAAAGCACAGAAGAAAAAAACACTTATTTATTTACATCCGGTTGATGTTTCACTCAAATTCTAAACGTGTTTATATTGATTATTTTATTTATTGATTGATTGGCGGTTTGCTTAAAACTTGGGCTACCGAAAACTTCTATCAATTACATATATAGCATATAGTTGTTAGTTTCTCTTATTCAGTTTGTTTAGATCTAGTAAAATATGACCTCTAATAGTGTTTGTTTTGCTCTGACGAGTATTCAAAAAAAAATATTTACAACCTAGTGATTCACAAGTTTCTAATAAACATGAGAAAAAGCATTATCTAGCTGGATGACAGCTTATCCCAATACATGAGATGACTGTTCCTAGATGGTGTCTTTGGTTCATAAAATGTACTCCTGGACATTTTATAATTGACATTCAACAAAATGTCGTGTATTCCTCGAAGGAGAAAAAGAAGAGATATCAGAATGGATTGGTTTGCGCTTCAGGTCAGATAGAACTGGGCTTGAAGACTGAGTTTTAAAGTTTCAGTAGCTGTAGTCACGTTTTTCCTTACTCGATGGGGTTGCTAGCCCACGGCCTCCTCCTGTTGTCTCATTTCATTGTTAGTGTGAGT